AAGTTACATGGTAGAGAAGCAGGCTTAAAAATCTAAACCAAAAGTTAATCTTTAGCTTATATGTAATCCTTTGTAAGTGTAGAACATGTCTGTTAACGGAGATAAAATGTCCCTATTCTGCAGGTGTTTCCTATTCAGAGTGTCATCACCAACCGTAAAGGCAGCTGAAGAACAAGGGCATAGAGAGGTAAGGACTCTCTTTTTAAATATCGTTTATAATGTAGCAAAGCACAACTAATAAATAGAATCTCATTTTTTTTCTTTTAAGGGGTCAGCTGGAGCAAGAAGTGCAGGGCCGCTCACTCCAGTTCTCTTAGAGCAGCTCATATTGCAACACTTCTTAAGAGCTGACTGCTGAAAAGCAGCACTGAAGACTATCTGTCAGCAAATGCCAGATTTTACCTATACTTTCCACTAAACACTTTTATTGCTGTTGTACCGTTTACCAGATTTGATGCCATTTCTTTAACTGTTTCACGTATAGTCATGCTTGCTGATGGGACGCTTGTCCTCCCGCACATGTCTGGGTCTCTGCAGCTCTTGGCCATTGCAGTGGCAGGGGCTGCATTTGGTCAGGACTTTGCTTGAGAAATTGCCACGTGAAGAGTCAGGATTCATCTCCCAGGGCCTCACCTAGTCAGCTGGAAAGGAGACAGAGGCTCGGTTGCCTGCTGCTGCTGAAGATGAGGCACTTATCAGTGAATATGGTATTATTAACTGAAATAACTGGGTTATTATTTAACTTTATCTTCCTTGATAGTGATGCCTTAAAGGGAACGTTCTTTTCAGGACAGCCCAATGTCTATTTGATAAATGAGCTTCTACTATCATAGACATTTTTCTTTCTTTCCATGTCAAATGTTCTTTGTTATTTGCAATCTTGTAACTTACTGACCTTATTTTTCCTTTGGTTACAAAAAGCTCAATTTTCCTTGGACTCCCCCCGCCAACACACGCACACAAGCACTTCATATTCTGTCTGTCTCGCTGTCCCTCTCTCTCTCTGTTTTCCTATTTTCAGGATAGTTTATTTGCTTTCATACTACCCATTTTATGGTTCTTTAGAATAAGAACCATAATTCGTGGTCTCTTTCTATGTTGGCCATATCTTAGGAGACAAAATTAGAGACCAAACACTGACTGGAGACATACCAGCAAAATTATCTTTCTCTTCCTCACCTATATTAACTTCTAATGCCAAGATTTTCACACGCCCTCCCCTTAGGGGACATGCTGAATCCATCAGAGAAGCTCCCTGTTCCTAAGGGCTTGCCAGGAGCAGCTTCCTTGGCTGCAAAGGAAAGCTCAGTTGGCCCCCGTGCGAGGCAGAAGCTCTCTCGTGTGCGAGCATGGTGAGGCCTCCAGAGAGATGTGGCTCCTGCTATAAGCTCTGCCCTCCTCCTGTTGAGTGCTCCTTAATAAAATGCTGCATTGCAGGGTGGAAAGCACCTGAGACATGCTTCACCAACGGGGAAGGGGCAGCACTGCACGTTCAGGACGTGCTTCCCTGAAGTCTGTAAGTTTAGGGGATATTATATCAAAGATTCATCGTAGTTAAAGAAGCAGCTCAAAATTCTCATTAAATCAGCCTTGAATAACACTATCTTTTCTTTTAACAGTACTTAACAAGACAGGAGGGAAGTAAGAGACAAAATATCCTCCTTCCTAAGGAACGAAGGAAGAGGAACTGCCTGACTGTCATGTGTTATTTCTAAAAATAGTCACATTACATTTTTCTGTAAAGCATCAACTGCTCTTTAAAATGAGACCAAATCAAATATACTTGAAATCAAACACTGAAGAGTTTTTTTTCTTCTTTTTTTTTTCCTTTTCTAGGCTTTATCATCCTTTGAAACTCACATTTTTCCCCCTCCTGCAACACTGAGCTGTTTTAGCCTTGCCTGAAATCTCTCTACTCTTTTGTTAAACTGACTTCCGTTTTTTTGCAAGCTCTCCCAGTTTCTATCCAAGTGCTCTTTAGCAGCACAGGCTGTGTATGGGCAGTGCATTATCATGGAGTTCCATGTGCTGCTTTCCTCCCTCCCTGAAGTACAGCACAGTTACTATCTAATTTCTTATGTGAACTATTAGTATTTGGTATGCTCTGCTACTCTGGAGAACTGAGAAAGTATCTCCTCACATTAGTTTTCTGAACTTTGCCACAGTTCATGTTTATTTTTGTTATGAAAGCAATTATTTTTGTGACCTTCTATAAGCTTTAATTGAAGTCTGCCTCTGTTTGGAAACTCTTACAGAATTAATCAATTAACGTATTATTCCTAGGAACTTTTCCTTGTTTGAAAACTTTTCTTCCACAACATTTTACTTGCCTTTTTTGTTTTCTTAAGCAGCTAAAAACTAACGAAGTGTGACTTGCAGACACCCATCTCTTGTCTGCATCTTTCCAGGTCGTTTGCATGTGAGGCAGATAAAAGGAGGAAGACTGCTATCACTATAGCCCCCATGTATGAAAAAGCCTTTTTGTGATTGTGTTCTCCTTGCAGCGTTGAAAGCATTACATTTCTTCAAGTCATCCTAAGCTGCCAACTATACACATTCTTTTGAGAGTGATTCAGCAAAACAGAATATTTTCTGGCAGCACAGAGGGAAAATCATATGTGACGAAGAAGCTGATACTTATCCATTGTACATACTTGATTACCTTGACAATCATGTTCTGATCTGTGCTGCTTCCTTGTTGAAATGTGGCATACCCAAAAGGTATTTTCTGTCAGTGACAATCCAGAGATGCCTATTTTGTATTTGGTAAGGTTAACTGAGGACACATTCAGGGATCTCTGTTGCAAATATTTTCCACATCAAGATTTGGAAGTGGTAAGGTAGAGAATAAGTACAATAAACACAAAGCTGAGGAGTCTAACAGATTTGGTAGTAAGTGAAAGCAAAAGCCCTGCATTCTCTCTAGACAAAACTCTGATTAAAATCTTCACATACTGGGATCACTCCATCTGTCTATTAGCAATGCCTATGGTAAAACTATGATTTATGTCACTTTGGGATGAATGACCACCTATTAATTGTGGGGAGAAGGAGGACAATGCCTTGTGGTACTTTGGAGACACCCCCCTTCCCCCCCAAATACCCCCATCAGGTTCTGCATGGGAACCAGCTCTTCCCTGCCAGGCTGAGCTCTCAGGGAAGCCACAGCCTTCTCAGCAGAACCAGCAAAAAACATAAACCTCCTGCATGGGATCAACAGGTAGTGAAAATGCTGCCCTGCAAACAGAGCTGTTGTCTGGCCCCCTAAAAGCACATAGTGACAAAAGGAAAAGCAAGAAATGTACATGGACTCTGTGCTTGGCTTTTACCTGCAGCTTGTCTCCCTGTACGTGGGGCCTCTCTAGGACACAACTTGCGAGGTTAGTCTTGGCTCAGACAACCTCCTGTATCTGCCTGGGTGTCTGCAAGCACTTGTGTCTCACCTCTATCATTAAAACACCTCATCAGGTGCCACAATTAGCACCACGCAGGGCTGTGGCTCCCAGTCTTGTCTGCTCTTCGCTTTGCAAAAGCCACTTTGTGTCCCTGGCAGCCTTGCTGGTGAGTGTGGGATGGCACTCCTGTGTGCTCATCCTCTGTAAGATGGACAGCTGCTGAATATCTGCAGCTGTTTGCACACTCCAGGGCTAAAAGAAGTAGCCAAAGTGGGGATTTTAGGTATGGGATGCTCGTTTCAAAATCTGTATTGTTAAGCCATGCCTGCTGAGGCTCTGTATTTGAAGGGAATGGTTCGTTAGCTCCACCTGTTGGAGGTAGAGTTTACTTCCATATGAGAAAACTGTTTGAAAATAAAATGAAACTTTGATTATCACTTGAGGTTTCTTTCCTAGCAAGTCTTAGCATTTAAGTAATATTCCCACATTTAATCTCTCCATTCTAAAAATCTCCTCAGTTTTGGGTGTCTGCCATCTCGATGAACAAGTCAGCTCTGTAGCTGTGCTTTGCAACACCACACTACTTCAAAACTGGCATTTGGTCATTTCCGATGTCAACGGGCAACAGGAACTGCTGGATTTTACATCTGATGTCACAGGTTTTTTCAAAGAAACTTTACTTAAGAGTGGTCTGTGCTTACAGGTGGTGTGGATATGACCTTGCTCACAGGGAAAGGCTGGAAAGCAGATCCCATGTTTGATCCAGCCAGGATCTCAAGCTCAAATGAACGATGTTCTGAATCACCATAATAAGTCTTTGCAGTTTGTTTTAAGATCTGTTCTTTAATAAGTTGCTAAAACAGATAACATAGGTAGTTGTTTCAGAAAGTATTTGTAAAGCTGTTTTGTCCCATATGTCCCTACAGCCTAACAGACCTGTAATTTTTACGGAAGCCTATACTTTAACAAGGGGAGAAACAGTTTGCTGTTTAAAAACAAGTCCTGCAGGCTTTTCTGTCAACAGTGAAACTACCAGAGCAGTTTTGCCTTGGCACTATCTTAGTGAGACACGTGCTGGCTCTAGTTTGATTTTAAAGATCAGTCCTCGAAATCTCTTTGGAGTAATTAAAGTCTAGGATATTAACCATCTGAACGCTCCAAATGGGTTAAAAGGGTATGGTTACCCTAGAAAAAATGTTTTTGTGCTTTTTTTCTTTGCCTATTTTAAACTGGCACAATAGACGTGGCTATGTCCATCACTGTGACCACACCAGACTTCTTAGTGCTGGAGTGCCTTACCTGATTGGTTACTCCGTCGGTGGAATAACCATAATTCTTATTTCTACTGTTCTTCTCTCCCTCCTTCCTTTTCCTCTTCTTGTTCATCACATCTGGGTTTTCCATCTTTCTCCTCTGTCAAGCAAATGGAATTGAAATGATTATTATAACTATAAGCTAAAACCTTAGGAGTGCACCCAAGTTAAGGAACTGTGAATGGACGTGCAGCTGCGTCTTTTGTGTTGGCAGTATAGAATGTTTTTAGAATCAGTGTTATTTTTTAACCTTGGAACTTATCCTGTCACATAGCCCAGTGCAGCAGCTATTCTCAATTTAGCCCCACCCTCTAAGTATTACTCAACTAACACTGATTCAAGAAGCTACAGCAGCAACCTCAAGAAAACAAGAGAAGAAAACTGTGTAAAGGAAGCAAAACGCTTTTTGAAATGTTATGGTTTTTAAATCTTCATTCGTCTTGTCAAAAATAAGATATCAAAGATGTTCGTAAGTACCAAATGACTTCTGCACTTATCAAACGTTTCAGTTTTGCCACAGTTTGTATTTAACTGTAAAAAATTATTTATTGTCCAATACTGTCCAGTGTTGGGAATGTTATCCATTACCCATGTGAAAAATGGAATGTATGTTACTGAATCCATTTTTCTCCCTTCTTCTGGAAATGAAGAAAAAGAAAGATGAGTCCCCTGAGCAGCTGGTGTGTGTTGGTGTTTGTAAGTCTTCTCTTGTGGCTGTCTTGGCAGAACATATGATTTGAGGTTTATGCATAGAAAACTGTGAAGCAATGATGTTTATTTTGAAAATGCATCCCGTAATTTACTCATGAAACAGAAAATGTAAAGCTGTTTACTCTTTGGTTGTTTTTTCTCCTTTTTTCTTCCGGGAACTTGACTGTAAATCTGTTGCAGCCTGTATGTGATAAAATATTTCAGATGTACCTTCTTCTGTCTTGAAGGATTTAAATGAGACTTCAGTAGGCTGCTGCTTGTCAGCTATCTATGGCTTCTAGCACTTAAGAAAGTATATATTGCAGGATGTCTTTAATGTGCTGGATCTTATCTTTAACGTTCAGATATTGTCTGTCTCTGCTTTGTGCAACTCTTTAAGGCAGAGATGTCCTCCTCCTCCTCCTCCTCTTCAGCGTTGGAGACTGAGATCTTCCAGTACATTGACCTGCATCAAAGTGGCTTTGTTGAGGTAGGAACTACATTGCAGTGAAACGACTGGAGTGCAGAACTGATGTTGGAAAGGCCTGTGCTCTAAACCACAGATTGAGCGTCTGCCATTAAGGTAACGAGCAAGGTTCCAGGCCTGGCATCTGATGTGCTAGCAGTGCTGTACTCCTGCTGCAAAGCCAGGCTGCAAGGAGACAGTCAGTGCCAGGGACCCTCCAGGTGGAAAAGGCTTTGCTCAGACCTCTGCAGAACATGGGACTGTGGGCATCATCCAGGTGTGCTCAGAGAGAGGCTTCGTTGAGCCAAAAACTCACCTGGACCTGAGAAGCAGTCCATGTATGATGTCCTCTCGCTTGCTTTACAGCAGGAGTCTTGCCAAATCCTGAGCTGTTTTTGTGTCTGCGTTTTTGTCAGTTCCCTGGGAAAAGGCAGAAACAGGAATTTGACATAATTAGTCCAGTAAATGTTATTTAGGCTTTTAACTTGTAAGCACTTCTGAATCCTTATGAGGATTGCCTAGGTAATTTAGACATAAGGCCGTTTCTGTAATGCAAACTATTGATCATGATCCAGTCTAACTCCTTGGAGACCAGGTTTAAGATCCTTTGGTGACAGCGTGAATACCTAACAGTGAGTACACTGTGTATTTAAAAAATAAGGATCTTGAACCATAAGGAACCTATCTAGGCAATTCTTCTGTGTCCTGAAACCTTCTATCCCAGGAACTGAGCCGCTTTGACAAGTGCCACACCGTGAACAAAGAAGGTAGCAAGAACCGCAGCTCCTGCTGCGATTCTGGAAATGTTTTTTTGAGGAAGCTCTGCAGAGGACAGATGGAGCCAGGTGTTGATGGCTTTGTTGTGGGCCAAATCTGAAGCGGGCCTTTCAGATGCAAGTATGGTGATCCAGGGTCCTGATGATGTACAGGGTACATGTCATTGCTGTGACAGGATAGAAAGGAAAACATCTTCAGATATGATACTTTTTGTGTTCAAAGGCAAAACAACACAGATTCCTGGGTGTTAGACCTATTGATTTATTTAACTGTGCCTCTTTTCTTCCTATACAGAACCTTGAGGAATGGGTGGCTGTGGAAAGCGATTCTGTTCAACCAGATCTCAGGAAAGAAGTAATACGAATGATGGCATTAGCAGCTGACAGACTTAAAGCATTGGGAGCCACTGTTAATTCAGTAAACCTGGGGTCGCATCAGGTGCCTCTTTAGCATTCTTATATTTAAAATATTGTATTTTCTAGTCTCATGTTCTACATTCAGTACTATATACATGCTATGACTTACAGATATTTTTTGTAGTTGGGTATCAATTTATCAATAGTCCTTTAGTCAGACAATACCTGCCAAATTCAGTCCCTCCTCAGACCGTATGCCAACAGGCATGTGAGACTATATAGACAATCCAATGCAAGTGGATGTTATCACCATACCAGAGACTGTTCAACACTAAAGAAAAGCAGTATGCAAAAATGTAAGGCCTGAATTTTTTCCAGGCTTCATTTTTATACCCCTCTGAATAATGAAGCATGGTAATTAATATATTGTTTCTTCACCAAAATCTCCATCTGAGGGAGTTATCTTTTACAAGGAGAATGTTACTAAACAAAAAGGGCTAGATATCCTGAGTATCATTTCTTTTTTGAGGCGCTTCTGTCAAACACTCCAAGCCCCCTCATCGCCCCCCCCCCCTTTTTTTTTTGATGATGATTCTTGGGAAACATCAGACAAGAGTTAATCTCTGAGGAATCTTTGTCTCTAGTTTACCCTTCTTATTATAGTGGGGGCTTTCTTTCCTGCCCTATGCTGTTAGTTTTCTATGCTAACAAGAATTAAAAAGTTCATTAGTAGTCTGGTTCTCTTTTCCTTCCTCTTCCTCTAGGAAGGTCAGTGATAGTCTTAGCACAAGGATATTGCAGCACAGCATGTTATAAGGTTGTATCATTCATTAGTTGTAATAAATGCATTTCAAATTAAAATATCAGCATGCACTTGGTATACAACTATGATTGCCAAAATATGTAGCAACAGTCTATGTTAGTAACAAAAGGGAAGAGATTACCTGTTGTTGGAGCAGAGGCCAGAGATGCATTTCTCTGCCTAAGAAATGAGTGTTGTTTCACAAATTGGGTTTTTCTTGGACTCCTGAGCAAGAAATTGCTAGGCTTTAATACTGCAACATACTAACATTAATGGTAAATACAGTGTAGTACATGCGTTCTTCTAATTCTTGTTTCTTACTTCTGTGAGACGCTTAGGTTCTCTTGGTCAATGTTGAGATGTGTTCCACATTGATGTAAATTACAGGATTAGTTTAAAGTCTTAACCTGCTTTCAGAACAGTCTGAAATAGCTGCTGCTGCCTTCTGCCAACAAAACTTTGTTTCATTTCTTTGTTTGGGGTTGTTACAGGCCTCCTGGAATCTGCCTGTTGCAAAACCAGGCCCTCAGTTAGTTTCTGTGTAGCTTTGGCTGTTTCAATGTCATGACATATACTTTTGTCACTACAGCACATAGTCTTCTCTACCACCACCATTTGTTCAGGAGGGAAGTAAAAGGTCAGTAAAGAGTGCATTCATGAAAGTAACGCTTTAGAAGAACTCTGTATAAAGTCCCTGTAGAAGCTAACTGGGTGGGGAGAGGATCTTAATTTCTCTATGTAGTTTAGAGTTGGAGTCAAAGTCAAATTCGATGATCTAATCGAATCAGAGTCAACTGAGTACGTAAATGTATATTCATTACTGAAAATTTCAGCTCTTGCAAGTTTTCAAAGCTTTGTTTTTGCTTTCTTCCTTTTTTAACATTTTGTACAGTTGCCTGATGGCCAGAACCTCCCGCTGCCTCCTGTCATTCTTGCAGAACTGGGCAAGGATCCACAAAAGCCCACAGTATGTTTCTATGGCCACGTGGATGTGCAGCCCGCCAAAAAAGATGATGGGTGGAAAACTGACCCTTACACACTGACTGAAATCAATGGTGTGTACCTGATCATAATTTTGGTATCATTATTTGAATATATCATTGAGATTTGGAATGAGAAGAGGTTGCCTATATATTTAACCAAAGCATGATGACTTTTCTCATGGAAGTCTCTGAGACAAATCTGGTGGACTTGGGTCTTGATGACCACGCTGTGACCAGTGAAACCCCAGAGTGATTGCATAACGTTTGGTATGGAAGAGCCACGTGAGACTAATGTTGCTTTATAGACTATAGTTATAACTAGACTATAGTTTCTGCTCTAAAATTCTTGTTGGAATGTTGAATCGACCATGACCCTCCCTCCTATACTTTGCTCTTGCTACATAATCCTGTAGTCTCTCCATCCTCCTCACTGCAGATTAGGAGCATTCACAGGGGAGGAATCGGAGGCTGCTGCAGGGGTCAGTCCTGGGTCCAGTCTTGTTCAGCGTATTCATTGATGACCTAGATGAAGGGACGGAGTGCACCCTCAGCAAGTTTGCTGATGATACTAAACTGGGAGGAGTGGCTGACACACCAGAAGGCTGTGCTGCCATTCAGAGGGACCTGGGCAGGCTGGAGAGTTGGGCAGAGAGGGTTCCTCCTGAGGTTCAACAAAGGCAAGTACAGGGTCCGGCACCTAGGCAGGAATAATCCCATGCACCAGTACAGGCTGGGGGTTGACCTGCTGGAAAGCAGCTCTGCAGAGAAGGACCTGGGAGTGCTGGTGGACAACAAGCTGACCATGAGCCAGCAATGTCCCCGGTGGCCAAGAAGGCCAATGGGATCCTGGGGTGCATGAGGCAGAGTCAGCAGAGGGCTACAAAGATGATGAAGGGACTGAAACATCTCTCCTCTGAAGAAAGGCTGAGAGAGCTGGGCCTGTTCAGTCTGGAGAAGAGAAGACTGAGAGGTGATCTCATCAATGTGTACAAGTATCTGAAGGGAAGTTCTATCTGAACATGAGGAAAAACTTCTTTCCTGTGAGGGTGACAGAGCACAGGAACAGGTTGCCCAGAGAGGTAGTGGAGCCTCCTTCACTGGAGATATTCAAAACCCGTCTGGATGCGATCCTGGGCAATGTGCTGTAGATGACCCTGGTTGATCAGGGAGGTTGGACTAGATGATCTCCAGAGGTCCCTTCCAACCTTGGCCATTCTGTGATTCTCTTAATGTAATAATCCCTCCACTGCAATCAGCTGGGCACAAAAAGCACCATTCACTAAAGGAAACAAAATGATGCATGGAGGGTCAGTGGATGAGTAAGGCCAAGAACTCAGAAATCCTGATTCCCAGTTCTGTGCTATAACTGTTAAGTCACTCTTACCCGTTTGTGGGGACTCTTTCCAAACAAGCATATTGCGGTAACTCTACTGCCTCCAGTGGGGACAATACATATTAGTGTACTGAAATCTGTCCGTATGTATAGCCATATAGTTAAACATTAAAAAAAGTTATGTATCTAGACTTGGAGCATCATGCTTCTACTATGATATTTATTTATTTATTTATTTATTCATTTATTTTTTGCTGCTTGTTATCTGGACTGGCTGATGTATGCAGAAACTGCATATTGTGTCAAGACACGTCAGACCTGCCAGGCATGTCTGGTGTGAAATAACAGCTTCTAAGAACAAAAGTGAAACTCCAATTGTTATGTAGCAGAAATCACGATACCATGTGTATAAAGAAAAAATGTACTAGGCCACTGGGAAACACCTGTCACCCTATTTAAAACGAGTCAATGAAATCCTCATTGTATTGACACATCACTTGACATACTGCTATGACTTCTGGGGCAAGAGGAATTTCTGATTGCATTGAAGTGGCAAGAGAAGTTTCAAAGATTGCTTAAAAGCTTTGTCTTTTCTTTTTAAGGAAATCTCTATGGGCGTGGAGCAACAGATAATAAAGGACCTGTCTTAGCCTGGATGAATGCAGTGGAAACATTCATAGCCTTGAAATTAGTAGGTATTGGAGAAAAATATTTTTATTATTATAGTATCTCTCTAGAGGAATAAATTTACCTTCCTGTGAGTTAGATACTAGGTGTCTGTTCCAACAGATTACATGCATTTTGAAATATTAGCTTATTTCTAATGCTTCATCCAGGACACTGGTCCCACTTCAGGAACAGTCTCTACTGAGCATTTATATTTTGAATAGGCTGTATGCAATGTAAATATGATATTGCTGTCATTGCCCTGCAGAGTAAAACACGCTGGGGGAAGGCAAGCATTCAATATGTGTTACATATATTAAATGCCTTTGAGACACTACTCTCTTGAGAGCTTTTAAGATTGTAAAACAACATAAATCAGAGACTAGTCATGAAGACTTATCTCTGCTGTTACGTTCTGCTGATCTTTGGTCTTGGCTACCTACATGCTACCTTCAGTTTGTGTGTATGCATAAAGAGAATAAGTATCTAAAAATGCTTATATATAATGGAATATTCTTTCAACAGTGTATTAGATTTATCAAAGAAACTGCTTCAATGGGTGCATTAACCAAGTACAAATACACTCCCTTAGAGGATGGCATGCCTTTAAGAATTGGGCCTTTGCCTGAACTACTACAATGAGCAGCATAGCTGTCTTTAATTCAGTCTACGTGTTTAATAATTTGGGGGTAGTTTTATCCCCACTGCAAAGCTAAACCAACATATAGTCCAAGCTTATAACTTGGTTAGCTACCTTCCGTAAGGCAAATTTACATAGTATGTTTTTTTGGATTGTTGAAAGATGGATTCGTGCCTCTGTTATGACATTATGGCATAGACTATGCTTTAAGTCTTGATTTTAAAGCCTTTTCACAACCTTCTGGAAAACGGATGCTTTTCTTTCATCAGTAATAAGTGGTTTGATTTCATTGTCCCGAAGTGCTAGTAATGAACTTGCAAATAAGCACATGTAGTTGTTTGCCTACTTATTAGCTATTGTAAATGGATATGGTCATGGCTGTCTTTCTGCATCTTTCCAGTTTATCAAATCAGTAATGGTTATTTTGATGTTTTAAAAAGCAAGAAAAGAAAAAAAAACATTAGAATTCTTTCCCTAGAAAACAGTATAGATCATCAGGCAATATTCATGAACAGTTTGTTTCTAAATTTTTTTTATGGTCATTTCATGAACCATTGGTGAACTCGTCCATAACATAAGTTCCTTCAATTCTAGACATTTACTCCTGGTTTCAGTCTGCGAACTGAACCAAAACAGAAAGCACCTTAAAACCTGTAATGAAAAAATAAATTGGAACGGGAATTGAGCTAAAATTTTTCTCCTATGGGATATGTCAGCAGTTCTGACTCGTGCTGTTCCAAAATAAAGGTTCTCTTAATTTCTGTTGGAAGTGCATCCCTATGAATTAGCAGGCATACAGATTCATGAGTGCTAACAGGACAATTAAAATAGAATTGACGGAAGCATTTTTGCCACCATATGACTTACCCTGGCTTTAGATAACATGTTGGGAAAATAGCAGCAATGGACCTTTGTCAGTGGTTCCCAGGTGAGTATTACTGGTGGAAGTATGAAAGTCTAGAAATTTTCTGTCAAAATGCAACTGGTATTACACAGACTTTCCCAAGTGAATAAAATAGTATCCCAGCAAAACTTGTTTTTCCTTATGATTTTCTCTCCCTTTTATTTCTGAAGGAGAATGCAAAAGCGAACATCTTTTTTTCCTACTTCAGGTTTCCAGAAAACTTGCTGGACTGTCTCACTAAATGGGATTTCTCTCAGTACTGTTAAATAAGTTTTGCTGGGATACTATTTGTGGGCATCCGTCAATGCCTTTTCTATTGGAATAAGGCATTTATCTTATCTCCTTCTTTTCGTAACATATTACATACTGCAAGCCAGTTTGTTATTGCATTTTAAATGTTTCTTTTTTTTTTTTTTTTGAAAATGCTTGTTCCTTACCCAGACTTCATTAATATTCATTTAGGCTATGCCAGTAAACTTCAAGTTTGTTATTGAAGGTATGGAAGAAGCAGGGTCTTTGGGGCTAGAACAGTTACTTGAAGAAGAAAAACAGTACTTTTTTGCTGATGTTGATTATGTTGTGATTTCGGACAACCTTTGGCTCAGCAACAGGAAACCTGCCCTTACCTACGGGACACGGGGAAATGCCTGTTTCTTTGTGCAGGTAAAGGACATAGCTTGCTTTGAACTGGGCCCCTGAGTACAGACTGATGTTCTTGTATTCACATCTGTGTGCATATGTAGAGAAAGGCTGAGAGCAAGCTTAACATTTACAAACGCAGGCTCTTCTTACACACTTTTTCCTGCTTGTGCAGATTTCTCCTCCCATTTCAATTTAATCAGGTTTATTCACTTTCATTACCTTCTCTTCTCCACTTACACTCTCTGTCCTTGATCTCTCTTTCCTATCCCACTTCTCTCCTGCTACTCTTCCACTCTGGTCTCATTGCCCCTTCCTCACATCAACTCTATTCTCTGGCAATGCTGTTCCTGCACGCGCATGCACATGTACTCACTCTCTCCAAAACTCTCTTCTGCCTGCTCTGTCCGTTTCCAGCAGATAGGGCTTAGTGCATGCTACCTGCCTAAGGGGACTCAATTTAGTTGGATCCCTGGGTTTAAAAGCCACATAACGTTTTTTTAACCGCTGTAGTCTATTTAGCAGCCAACACGACCCATTGTGAAATAAAGAGCAGAAATTCCTCAGCTGGAAAATTCCTGCGAAAGCACAAAAGGCATTTAGAGAGCAGAATTAAGGAACTAGACAACTAAAGAAAACTCTGCAATAATCTTTATGTTCGAAAAAGAATAAAATTTGTTTTTCACTGAAAGAACTTCAGCAGCCTTCATTCAATTCTTCTAAGTCTTGGTTAAGAAAAATGATGCTATTAAAACATCAAAAATGATCTCTGCCTGCTACCAGACAGTTGACTGTAATGAGCTTTAGAGAAGAATAAACAAGTTCATTGAAGGAAAATAGTTTATGATAAACCTGAGTATGAAAATGTGTCTGGAAAAAGAACCCATTAAATAAATGAAATGCCTTTCTGTATTGTAAAGCTCTGTGATTCAGGAGACCTCTAAATTCTTATTTGTTGCAATTTGGAATTAAGGTCGGACGTATTTTTTCTTATTGCTAAACAAATAAGATTCTGTCTTGCCTTTCTTATGAAGATTTTGCATTAAATAAGAAGGATGAAGAACTTGAAGGATTTATTCCATAATGTTAGAAACAATACTATGCAAGTGTTTCACTTGTGATGTGTTTAATCTTACTGAAGCAAAAGAGGGAATGAAGAGAGACACTTGCTTTCAAACGCCTATAAGTAATTTAGACAACTGAATTTCTCTCTCTAATGGTTTACAACAAAGCAATATCTTCTGTTTACCAAAAGCAGGTCATTCCTAAACTTATATTGTCCATTTTATAAATAGAGACACACAATAGTTTTCCATTTATTTGTGGCCTCATTTGAAAGTACCCATGCCTGTGGAAAACAAGTTCTCACAGAACAATGAGATAGGGAATGTTTTTATGTAAGTGAGGATTTTTGATATAGGTTGAAAGCGGTGACAAGGACCTTCACTCTGGCACTTTTGGAGGCATCATTCACGAGCCAATGACGGACCTGATCGCTCTGCTGGGTAAAGACGAGCACCACGCGTCCCCAGCGGTAACTGGGAGCAATGGGAAGCAACCCACCTTACAAAGGGCTAGGCCGTGCTAAGGTGACCTGTGTAAGGCAAGTCCAGCGGAAGCAAGATTCCCAGGTTTCCCAATGTCAGCATCACCACAGGGACAGTCGCTGGGGAAGGAGATGTTCCCAGTAAGGCCAGGACCTCACAAATGCTCCTGGCCTGTCAAACTGTTTTCATTCATATACTCATTTATACTCAGATGTTAATCAGGAATGGTTAATGATTAAGGGAAACTTGAAATCCTGTGAATACATACCCAGTTAGTGAAGCCTGACTTTTTAATGCTAATTTGTATCTTAATAAGATGATGTTTTCATGTCAGCTGCCAGTGCTGTGAAAGCAGATACTGCAAACAGCAGCTCCATGGATTTCTTAATAAATTAGGAAATACCCTAAGTTAAATGCCACAACTTGATGCTGTGGACAGTTAGGGAATCACAGCTTACTTATTTGGTTAACTCAGAAGAGTTGGCTTAGGTAGAAGGGAAAAGGCATTGTGTACAAGAAATAAGTATAAGAAATAGGTCCTACTTTTACTAATATCTTTATCTTATTTTATAGACAGCCTTGTGGATCCCACAGGTTATATTCGGATCCCTGGAATCTATGATGGTGTTGCTGCCCTGACAGAGGAGGAGAAAAAATTGTATGAATCGATTGAATTTGATCTAGAGGAACATAAAAATAATAGTGGAGTGAAGAAATTCCTCTATGACAACAAGGTAAAATAACATGTGTATAAATGGTCAGCAGAAAGAATGTAAATGACCCATTCATAGTATTTATGGATAAAGTCCAACTGAAAGACATTTTCAGTCAATGGCAAACTCCAGAAAATAAAATGAAAGAACACAGAGCATTAAAATCTCAGTAAAATAAAATAAACCTGCTGAAAATGAAAGCTACTGGGGAAAGTGATCCAAAATGAATAATCAATGAAAAGGAGTAATGTAAAAGAAACAGTTTGGTTGCCCCTCTCTTGTCCTGCAGAATCCCACCCTGCAACCAACCAGGCAAACACAATAAGCATTAAACTCCTCAAAACAGATCAGATAGTAAAAAAAAAGAAGTTCTATTCAGATCTGAAAACTGGGAGGCAACTTCAGGTTGATGTGTTCTTGACTTTTATTTGTTTGATTCAGATTTTGATGTCTGCTGAGCATATAGAAAAGCTCTTAAAACTAAAAGCTTTGCCAGCATTTAAAAATTAAATCCTAAATAAAAAAAAAAAAAAACACAGTAGATAAAGGCTGGCTTAGAAAGATCTGTGCGCGCAGCAGTGGCAGCTGGGAGACAAGAGGGGAGTCCCATTCTTTTTTTATCACTAACATAATTATACCAGTATGATATAAAGTGATTGCAGTTAGTCCCATGAAAAAGCTCTGAATTAGCCTAAGCTATACTGTAATAATCAGTAATATAAAGTATAGCATAACCATTACTAAAGTTTTGATACTGTGCCTATACCAGGATGAAGTAGTGCAAGTTTTATGTATACTTGAGGCTCTATTTTCATAAAATTGGGAGTACAAAAAAAAGAAGCATCACTGTGGAGTTACGCTTTGCAGTCACAATTCATATATAAAGAGCTGCTAGAAATGAATGTATTTTCTTTCTCTTTCTTTTCTTTAGAATAGACATTTTCATTTTTTTCCATCTCATCTCTTCCAGAAAAACGGATCAATGTAGTTACTAAACATTATAATCTTATATCTTGTATTATTTAGATGAGAGATACTCATTAGTAAAAGAACTTCTTCCCTTCTCCATTTGGGAAACTGGTCAGTTCTGCCTGGTATCTTCTGATCGGGTCTGGTTAAATTGTTCACAGGTTTTCCCTGCAAGTAGGTCAGAAGTTCTGGGGTCAATAGATGGTCAGATCAGAAGTTGTTCTGACCCCAAGAAGCATCAGATTTATTTATTTTTTCAACCCAGATTAGTTCATTAATCTAAAGCACATCTAGTAAAAATGTTTAAACATATACTGCATGGGTTATATAAAATTATCACAATTTATTATCTTTATCTGAAATGAAAAATGCCAACCATTAACAAATGCATAAATAATATAGTAGTCAATTGGTTGGTATAAGGTGCATGGGAAAGAGAAAAAAAGGCTCCCAATATGTCTTAGAAATGCAACCTATAATTGCTGCTTTAGCCGATTTTACGTTTGCACTGAAAACATTTTACTTCCAAGATGTTTCTTAATAATGGTCTGCTTTTTTTATTGTGCATGAATAGCTGTTCTCCAAATATTTCTAGAGGTAAACAAATGTTGAATGAAAAGTAGTGTTTTTTTAAATGACAATATGTTAGCAAGGGTTTAAAATACAAATCAAACACCTTTAAAATACAGGGTCCTCCAAGTACAAATTTTAAGATGGAAAAAGTCTGTTTCTGCACTTTAATTCTGTAAATGGTGAATGGCTCTGGTGTCATCCCTTGTATTTTTGAATTTTTTTTTTTTTGGAAGGAAGAAATACTTTTACATCTCTGGCGTTATCCTTCTCTCTCTATTCATGGGATTGAAGGAGCTTTTCATGAACCAGGAATTAAAACAGTCATTCCGGCAAAAGTCATAGGCAAATTTTCAATCCGTCAAGTCCCCCATATGGACCTTTCGGTTGTTAAACAACAGGTAAGAGGCATGCCTTTTCTTTGGCTTGTTCTGTGCAAACCAAGTTCCTCTTAGTACCTCAGGCGTTGACAACCAAAGCAGCGAACTGTATGTTTCTAGCATTTGGCTGTTCACGAGACTAGATGTGAAAATGCAGGTGTAAATTTATGAGCTGAATGAAGATAAACACTTTTGATAGGTATATTTTTTTCTGATAGGTATATTTTTTCCTTGTAGGTCGTGGAGTACTTGGAGAATGTATTTTCCAAGAGGAAGAGCCCAAACAAACTGAAAGTGTCTATGCCCTTGGGTGCAAAGCCCTGGGTTGCTGACATTAATGATCCACTATATATAGCAGCGAAAAGGGCAGTAAGAACAGGTACATCTTTTCTTCTTTCATTTTTAACATCTTCTCTGCAACTTTAAAAAGGAATCATGCTCATCCTTAAAACAAGGGAGATTTCTTGATTCAGTGGGTATAGCTGTTCACCCTTATGAATCTGTCATTGATTTCTGTAGGACAACTCAGCCAGTAAGGCCTCTACATGTTTGTGTTTTGCTGAATTGGGGAGTATTAGTAGGAGCAGCCACAAGATTTCACTTAGTTTTTTTGTATATTGATACAAAGCCAGCGGTCTGTAGAGTGTAATGGATTCACGGAATCAATTGGCTGCCCACTCAAAAAAATTTCTATGAAGAAGTTCCTTGAGCATGTTGCTGATATTTGATAGCATTTGTTAGTAGAAGAAAGCATCCTTATTTCACATAATATCTACTCTTTCCATGTATTTCAGTTTTTAGAGAAGACCCGGACTTTATTCGGGACGGTTCCACAGTTCCTATTGCCAGAATGTTTCAGACTATAACGCAGAGAAGTGTGATAATGCTTCCAATTGGAGCAGCTGATGATGGGGAGCACTCCCAGAATGAGAAAATAAGCAGGTTTCTTTTATTTATTCATTTGTGCTATAAGAGAAGGGTGGAGAACTGAAGTGCCTTGGTGGCCACACACAGGCACTGCCATATGGGAAACTTTGCTCTCCAGTGGACTGCCCCAACCTACCATCTCCACCAAACTTCTTATTGTGCCGTGTGGAAAACAAAATTCCAAATTTATCAAATACTGCTACATAACTTTTCATAAATTGTCTGCTTAGTCTTTAAACCTGTCACGCTGGCAATTTTCATTTTGAAATTTGCCTCTTATTTCAAAGATGGCGATGTTTTAAAAGGGCACTTTTCCCTCACAGCATTCGTTTTGAAGTATTCCAGCCAGATGTGCTCAGCTTGGTAATTAAGTAAGGATTTTGATGTTTTTTCCCTTATGGTCCAAACAGAGCTAAAGATATATTTATATTACATGGACCAAAACTAGTGTAATTATACCACCAGGGCTGTGGTGTAATAGCTCTGGTTACACACCAGGGCTAGTGTAATTATACCACCTCTGCCTCCCCAGGGCTGAGCAGAGGGGCAGGATCACCTGCCTCCACCTGCTGGCAACACTCTGCCTCATGCACCCCAGGATCCCATTGGCCTTCTTGGCCACCAGGGCACATTGCTGGCTCATGGTCAGCTTGTTGTCCACCAGCACTCCCAGGTCCTTCTCGGCAGAGCTGCTTTCCAGCAGGTCAGCCCCCAGCCTGTACTGGTGCATGGGGTTGTATCTTTGAGATGGGAGGGGTGACTGAAAGTCACCTGTATGACCATTTATTTTGGCTGTCAGTTGTGCTCATGACTGAAGAAAAAAGTTGCCATCACAGCAGGCACGAACAGGGAGGTAGAAGACGACAATTCTTTTCTCATCCTCAGAGAGATGGTTTTCCTCTTTCACCTCTCTCCTGAACCAGAATGAGTCATGTTACAAGATAGAATGAAGAAGCTCACCTGCTACAGTTGTCACTGATAAATCAGTGATATTTTTAATTCTAAGGATCTTTTGCGGGTTCTTTGGGTGACCAATCTTGCAAGTTCCTTTGAAGGTGCCAAAAACTTTATGGGACTAAGCTGTTAATTTGAACAGCAGCTGATAGTGTTTCTTTCTCTTTCTTCCCTTTTTCACAGATACAACTACATTGAAGGAACCAAAGTATTTGCAGTCCTTTTCCTGGAGATATCAAAGCTGCACGGACAGTTACAAGAAGCTTCCAACACAAAGACTGACAACTGAAAGACCATTGCAGGGCTATTAGCAAAGCACTTTTTAAACCTTAAGCTTTCTAATTTCCTGATCTGGAAAAACATATGAATCACACAGAAATGCATGCCTGAATTTGTGGAAACATTAAATGCCATGCTATTACTTAGCATGCTACGAAATCATATGCATTTGTTATTCAGTCAATCAAATGACCTTATTCCTAACACTATAAAATAAGATTGGGGATAATTCATTCTTTCACAGTGCTATGTGCTATTTTTTAGCTTTAAAATTCAAGGAAAGGGAAATTTTATTTTTATTTTATTAAAATTGCTTTATTTCCTGTTTGGTAATATGGCCAGGTTCATGCTGCCTAGTTCATATTCCAGTTCTTGAATAGGAGCAACTTGCAATACTGTTGTTTCCTCCTAACAAATTTCTCTATGAAGCTATTTGAAGAAAAGATATGCTATTATGTTAATCTCTCCCTTGTGCTTCACAGAGGGCTGTAAATAGGAAATGCAATAGGATCAGCTTGCTGAATTTGATGCAAAGACATTACCTATTTCTGGGAATAATCACTCTGAGGTCTGTAGAAAGGCTATAGCGAGTAACGATTGCAGGTCTGGATTCTGCCTTTTTTCCCTCATTTAATCTGAATATCCTCTTACTGTGCTGTTTGGCATAGTACTAGGAATCACTATATAGTACTTATTTCCTTAGTATGACTTTCTTCCTGTACTACCCAAAAAAGTTACTGTAAATATCTGTTCTGACCAGTCTGTCATCAGAGGGTGTTTTTTTCCCACCATCTATTAGTTGCCAATTAACTTTTAAAGCATCAGTTTTATATCAATAATTAAATCAAAGACAAATGAATATATTTTGAAACTAAAATAATAAATATTTGAGTTCTAGTTGCTAACCATTTAGGCCAACCATCTACCACAAATTACACATAAAAATTCAAAGTTGTATTTCTTCATTTCAAAAAGTGATTTGTATTGTAATGTGTAGTTAAGTCGTGCACAACCAAAATGACTGAAGCAGATTAAACAAAAGAACTTGCTAGCACTAGCCCTACTGTTAACACAGATGATATAAATTAAGTTATGGAAATTAGCTGGTCTCTCCATCTCCTGGTGATTACGGGCAGAAAGAGTGGAGCCTGTAGAATGGAATTTCATACCATAGAGAATCTGTGCAAATAGATGATGCCAAAAGTTATCAGGATAAAAGACCTGGCTAAATTTAAAAAATAAAAACAAAAAACAAGCTTGGAGATTCTTGGGAGCTGGACATAGAGGTAGCTGGCCTTTTAAGAGGTCTGAGAATGGTAATAATCAGGAATACTGAGGTTTCAAATAAGGTTTTAACAAACATCAGTTTCCAGACTTCACTAGGGTTCTGAGGAACACAGTTCAGCTGGTAAGAATTTAATCAGTATACTGGCTACAGACAATGTTCAAGGGAAAAAGGAGCCCCCGGCTTGGTGTCTCTCACTTGTGTTGGCTTTGTAGGCTATATAACGGAAATGTAACTTTTGGGGTCCGTGTGAGGACAGAGGACTCCAAATAAAGACAAGAAGCCAGTCTCTAAAGTAGACTCCAACTTGTACATAACCAGCTTGTGGTATTTGGCCCACTACCATCTCTTAGCTCTCTTAACCTGTTTAAATCACTTAGGGTCCAAGATGGCAATGAATTCTGCAGGGGAGAATTCTCCAGCACCTGCACAGGGCTTGGGGCACATTAGTCCACACTTGCGGACTACGGGGCTAGAAAGATCAAATGACTGAGTTATACTTAAGTATTCAAAGGTATACAATTAGTATCAAACATTATTTACAATCTCCTGTTTTGAAGAGTCTTAAAAGTTTGGGTGGCCTTACAAAGTGACTTCAACAGCCATTGAAAGATGCATCTACTCACAGATAAGAAGCTTTTGGCAGAAGAGTAGAGCAGAAAGCTAGGTGGGATGGTGGAAGTGGTACATTTGGGCATCCAAGAGATATGAAGGCCGTGTTTCCAGGAATATAACTGTTGTGGAAAACACTACATCCATGCTGTTGTTGATAATTGTATCGCATTAAGAAGTGCAGCTATAGGATGGGTTTATGCTACGTTATTTTTTGTTGCTCTTTGGAAAAACAAATAAAATGCAGTCAACAAAGACAGCATCCTTTTATATGCATAGGTACTATCGGAGCAGTGCAGTGAAAAAAGGTTCAGAGCCAAAATGACCACTGACAGTCAAGTTAAAAATGTGTGAAACAGTGAGACCCATGGATTATGCAGACCATCCTCATGCCTCCTTCAACCCCAGAGGAGAGCAATTAGCAGAAACTTCAATTTCAGACTGTCAAGGCCATGAAGCAAAGTGCTGTGGAAGCTGTTGCCCCTACACTGGGCTTCCCAGAACTCCTCTTAGAGCAAGGCAGTGCATCTATCTGTCATCCTGGCTCTTCTGTTGTGCAACACCTCAACAGCATCTGGGAAAAAAAACTACTGTACGTTTTCTAAGGTCTGTACCATTATACACCATTTCTAGCAATATTGCTCCTCTATTGCATTAATAGTGATTTGTTGCCACAGAAAATTAAACATAATTCTAAAATAGTAGTCTTGGCAGTTGGATTCAAGTTTGCTTCTATTTGTTAGTCTTGTTCTAGATCTGCATATCACAGCACATCAGATGTTCTCATACCCTGACAAACTAACTAAATAGAAATTATACATATGCAGATACTTATGTGTGTATTTGCATTCACATATACACAGCCATATGCATGTATATATATAAACTCACATATATACATTTACATGACCCCATCCTGACATTTATTTCAGAAAAAATCTGAAGAATAAATTGGAACACTTTAATTTTCACTTAACTTGAAATCAAGCTCACTGATTTTAAGTGTGAAAGTTGCTTTTTTGTATTAGATAAATACATTTGTTAATTCTTAAAACCATGAGAATGACTAAAATAATAAGATGCTGACAATAGCAGCTGAAGGCATAGAGAGATGAGCAGCCTGCTGAGACTAACAACTAATCAGGTCACCATCTGCTTAGCCTTTGCAAAGGGAAGATTAGGCTTACTCATTTCATTATGGCTTTTCTTCTCACGTATCCAGCCACAATTTTTCCCAGGAAGCTTGACTTTGACTCCTGAGAGTTACTCCTCTAAGAATATGGCGTTTCGGTTTGCCTGGCAAAATGCTTTAAAATGCTTTGCTAGTTGAGGATGGCCATACCTCGTGTTTAAACAGGGAAGACTGTGCAACGGTGGCCTTAGCGGTACCGCAGAAGCATGTGCCACAGCGGTGTGAAGGGTGCCTGTGTCTGCAAAATTCATGTGTATAACTTCCATTGCTGTGTGCCACTGGGGACAGACTGACTGTCCCCTCTGCTAACAGCAACACTCACTGCCCATTATTTTCCACCACTGGATTTTCTAAGATCCTAACAGCCATTTGCAGTTTCTTACCCTTTTCCCTTTCCTCTTGCTTTCTCAAATGCATCTGTTTTGGAAGACTTTTCCTCTAGAAAGATGGAATTGGTCACAACTTGCATGCACGTATCAATTGTGGTGCAAGCTACTCTCTTACAGGAAAAAAGTGTGGAACTTTTCCAGTACAACCTTTTATAAGCTTTTTGCAAGTTTTTCTTTCAGTTAAGGTATGGTCATGAACTGAGTATGAATATTCTTTCTTCAAGTGATGAGAAGTCATTTAGATATTTCCACCAGTATGTGCCAGTATTGTAAATTCTCATCAAACTTACAGAAGAAGAATACGAGGGGGCAGTAGCCCCTGGCTGGCCCTGTGGCATGTGCATTTGGATAGAGACTTTTGTGATTTTTTTGGCCAGACTCAAACCACCGGAACTCAGGAAGCAGCCTCTTGTCTCACTGAAAAAGAGAAAAATCTTCACGAAGAAACAGAATAGGTCAGAAACAGGTTAAAGCCAAACATGGAATAAATATATTCATTTCCAAGGTAAGGGTTTTTTGTGACATTTAAATTTACGTTGAATTTTGCTTAATTAGTGTTATACTCTTCAGCTAAAATAGCAAGTTTCTGGTTTCTAACAAGGTAAGTGAAAGAGCCCCTGACTGTAATGGGCTTTCAAACACGCCTTACAATAAGCAGCTCCTGCAAATCTTTCCCATCGATCCTGCAGCCCAAGTGGATGAGTTGTTTCCGATGGAGGATTATGAAGGTGGTTTCTACTGATGTTGACACCATTTCAAAAATTGCAAATACTATCTGAAAGTATGCATATGCTTCATTATAGCGTTCCTTTGTGTGAAACTTGTCATGTTACACTTAAACTCTTAAGGCAGGAACAACTGCTGTTATCTCGTTGTGGTGTTGTGGACCTAAATTAAATAGGTGTTTAACAGTGCTTGCAAAAATGTAACAAGGCACAGAATTTGGATTCTATTTGCTAGCAAACTTTACCCGTAGGGTGAAGAAGCCAATAAAACCTTGCTTAAGCGTCAGAGTACACACCATAAAAGGTGCAGGCTGTCAGCAAAGAAAAATGGTCATGTCCTTTAACTAATAAGCATTTGAGAACTTAAAACTTGCATAACTATGAAATGCTTTCCATAAACCCGACAGGTTTACACACTTTCTTGTTTCAGCAGAGGGGTATCTCTAATATGGTTTGGATGCACATGCCAGAAGGATGAGATACTGATTGAGTTACTTAAAATAAGGATTAAATCTGTATTTCATGTAGTGTGGCTTTCTCTGAAAACTCATTTTTGATTTGATCTGCTACCACATTAAATCTTGAAATTAATATATTGATGCATAATGTACTAGACTTGATATTTATATTTGAGATATTTGTCTTTCACAAACTTGCTTTGTGGGTTTGAGAGAGATGAATTATACTATGGCAGAACTGTAAACACTTGGAAGTTGGACATCTTTACATGTAATAGATAATACAGTGTAATAAATGAATCTCGTTTTACTGCAATGAATTACCTTTTTTGTTTAAAAAAAAAAAAAAAAGACAACTGCAGTACAACAAAACCAAATCCTTGAAGATTTGGCATTGACAGTCTCCAGACAGATTTATATATAGCAGTACTTAAAGCAGACATTTTGTATATATGCGTGGAAAATACTGATGTTACTACCTGTCTAAAAATTCTTTCGGTGGACTGTCACTGTGAAATAACGTGAAGTGCCAGCCAATTGCATGTTTCCTCTCCTTTAATGCAATTAGAATTCTTTTTCTTTTTTACATCTGTAAAACGAGTTCAAAAGTCATGCTAAGTATCTCTGTGGAGCTGAAGGCTTTTTTTTTTTTTTCTGAATTTGGAACTGAAAGAATAATCTCTAAGAG